AATACCTCGAGAACATGGATTCTTTCTGTTCATCATAAGTTCATATTTCGATGGAAATCGAATAATTTGTGATGGTCTAATACTAGTTGTTTGATTATCCGTATTGAGTTCCGTCAATCCATCTAATAAAAAGTGTTTAATAAATGATTTTCTTTTGGTTACTAATTCTTTATAGAAAAATTGCTCAACTTCAGAATAAGAAACTTTGCCATATGAGGAGGACAGTCCATGGCTGTAACTTTTCATACAAAATTGTTCATCATCACCATATTCACAGTCGAATTTACCGTTGCATAAATGAGCAAGATTTATGCATCTTTGCGAACTTGACTTTTTACATAAGAAATTATCTTTTTGGTATATGGAGTCGTATTCTCGGCACAGTATTCGTTCATCAGTAGCACCAAGACAATCGATGTTGTTATCATTTATTTTTTCAAGTGGTATACATGTAAATTGATTTGTATCAGGCAACACACATAAATGTTGATGTGATGAACAATTCAATGTTGTAAACGAATAACAACCGATTTCATCCTCACCTTTCGGACAATCCCAAATGCCATCACAATGATTATGAATGTTATTACATGGCCATTGTTCACATTCTGTTTCATCTGTTTCATTTTGTTTGTCATTATTTATTGGAATCAGATGAGTTAATCCATCACAAACGTGTTGAAATAAAAGCTTCATTCTAGCTAAAGCAATATTTTCATCTTCGTCTTCACAGAAACCGTAATCCGTGTCTCTACAGTCACACCTTTTATCTTTAACAAGCGATTGATAAATATATTTGTTAACCGTCTTGCATTTAAAAAGTTTTGTTAAAACGTCTGTCCAGCCAGCATCCATAATATGCGTTAGATTTTCGTCATCTCCTTTTGGACAGTCCACTCTATTATCCATCAGACGATTCATTGAGATACATTTTGAAGAGTTGATACAATGATACATGTCAGATCTATTACATATTCCAGAAGTATAGTTGTAAATTAAAAAGTATGGTTTCATTTTATATATGAATTCATACAAAGGAGACAGATATTCTTCTTCCAGTGTGTATTTCATCGTATCAAAAGACCTTATGTCGTCAGGACGGAAACAGGTTGCATTATTGAATAAAAAATTTTCACCAGGAGGAACATAGTACTCATAATCAGAACTATTGTAACATATGAAAGCTGCTGTATAGTATAGACGCTTGCGAATTGACATTTCGGTTTTGTTGAATGCCAGTCGAATGTTATTAGAAAAGACTGGAACCGTAGGGAAATAAAAAACATCTGGACATTCTTTCTCAATGATTTCAAAACACTCTTGTTTCTCGCATGTCTTATTAAAAAATGGCTTTTCATATATTGATTGTTGGATTGTAGATCTAAGGGCTGACCAACAATCTTCGGATATAGAGTTATCTTTAGCCAAAAATAAAGCTTGAAATAAATGGCTTCGACGCATACCGAAATTAAGATTTCCGATGGGTAGTGGACGAAATTGATTCTCTTCATTTATAAATGACGGCTGTTTATAAATGAAGTACAACGATTCTATTCGTTGTGGCGAACGTTCATCTGTCATGTCAGCACAATCATTAGTAGTATCATCATCACGATAAAAAGCCATAGGTATACATTGTCCATTCGAACATTGAAATTCATCATCTTGACATACATGAATTTCAATTTTCCAACAATCTTTTTCATCCACTTTATCATCGATGCAATCAACTTGACCATCACAAATCTCTGTCCAATGCAAACAAGCTGGTGATGGACCACGATTACATTGTAAATGAGTATAACAATTTACATCAGGACTGAAGTATCGCTCTTCATAGTAATCATTGATCATATCATATAGAGATGAATAGTTTTTATGAACATAGTTAATTTCATATTGACATAACGAACCAAATCTTGGCAATGTACAATTATAGAAAATTTCTCTTTCCAAAGATTGATTATTTGATATTGACATTTGATTTAGATAGAGTTGATAACGCTCTGCTACGTCAATTGGTGCTGACCAAAGATATAATTCATAACTAGTAATATTCTCTTGCGCAAGTTCCGCAAAAGTAAACTTGGGAAAAATATGATTATTTTCCATATGAAATTTCGATGGTAGATCATCCATACAATAAGTTATCAATTCATGGTTAATATGCCCTTTATCAAGTGAAGCATGTACACGCAAACAATCGTGTTGCAATACATGATTATTGTCACTTACCCAATCTGTGTAATGCAGATTGATTTGCAAGTTAGCAAGAGCCAGATGTAAAAGAAAACAACCCAATGGTAATCTCACATAAAACATTACTGCCTGATAAACACAGTGAAAACTGAAAAAATCAAAGGTTATTTATAATATTGATGAATAAAGTCCTGTATTGCTGACATTGACATTGAATAATGCATGTTATTTCTAATAAAAAAAACTGAAAAGTTATTAATATTTATGGTCATGATTTTACATCAGTTATGAGACTTATTACATCTTATATTTGATTGATGAAGCAACTTGAAATCTTGCCTTGAGATCAGATATGAACAGAAACTAGACAAGTATTTCATCATTTCTAGCAGCATAGACCTTCTATAACAGTATTGTAATGCTTCATTTTAACTGAAATTTTTCTTTCGACTTAGTACAAAGGTATGAAATGTTACAAAAATTCTCCTCTAGCCAATGATGATGAATTCATAATTATGAGTAAAAATCTATTCGTAACATTGTAGGCTTAAGATGATAAGCGATTATTTACAAATGAATTCCTTCCTATTGTCTGTTATTAGTATTGAATTTCAACTACCATTTTTCTTACATATATCAATATGTAAACCGAGAACTTATTCAATAATGTCAATTTATATAATATATGATTTTAGATCATCAACGTACAACAACAGTATTATGTATTTCTTGCTTCATGATCTTCATTCAGTATATTGTAGAAATTTTTTTTTTTTCGAATAACAGTAGTAAGAAAGCGATAGTTTAAAACTAGTTTAAAATCTTTCTATTGTCTACTTCAAAATAATAATCTCAATATATTTATTCTGCAAGAAATAATTTTTCTTAGTATTCTTTTCAATACGTCATCCAATAAAACACCTTAGAATCATACAA